TGTGTGTGTGTGTGTGTGTGTGTGTGTGTGTATATATGTATGTGTGTGTGTGTGTGTGTGTGTGTATATGTGTGTGTGTGTGTGTGTGTGTGTGTGTGTGTGTGTGTGTGTGTGTGTGTGTGTGTGTGTGTGTGTGTGTGTGTGTGTGTGTCTGTAGCTATTTCTGTTCTTCTATCTTTGAATGTCTCAGCTCTTTGATTCATTTCTGTCAGGTTTCTTTGATTCCAGGGGGTTTCCTGTCACACTATTTTATGCATATACATATATATACATATCTGTGTATATACAGTATATGCATATATTTATACACAGTGTATATATAGTGTGTATGGGCGTGTGTGGTGTTTGTTTCCAGCCTTCAGAGCTTCAGAGATGCTCCTCAGTTGGAAAGCTTCCTCAGCAGTTTGTCAGTAGGCTGTTGGATCAATCTGAGCTGGTCTCAGATCAGAACTGTATCTCTAGAGGTTAAATAATAAAGCAATATAGTTCTTCAGTGACAGGAAGTATAGAGAGAGATTAGCATGTGTGCTAACATTAGCATTAATATCTGTGATCAGTGACCAATGTGTTTGTTTTCTCAGATCATCAGAAGTTGGACCGCGAAGCTCGAATCTGTCGTTTACTGAAGCACCCGAACATCGGTGAGTACTACTACTCTGTGTATGTGTGTCAAACATTATGATTATGTCTCTTCTCCCCCTCTCTCACCCACCCAGTCCAACCCTTTCAAAATAAAAGCCCCACAGAGTGAATTATAACTAGATTGCTTGTGATGAAGTCTGTCATTTAAAAATCTCTGTGAATGTGTGTCAAACATTGTGATTATGTCTCTTCTCCCCCTCTCTCACCCACCCAGTCCAACCCTTTCAAAATAAAAGCCCCACAGAGTGAATTATAACTAGATTGCTTGTGATGAAGTCTGTCATTTAAAAATCTCTGTGTAAGTGTGTCAAACATTATGATTATGTCTCCTCTTCCCCTCTCTCAACCACCCAGTCCCACTTTTTCAAAAATAAAAGCCCCACAGAGTGAATTCTAACTGGAATGCTTGTGATGAAGCCCAACATTCAACCTCTGTGTATGTGTCAAACATTATGATTGTGTCTCCTCTCCCCCTCTCTCGCCTACCCAGTCCCACCCTTTCAAAATAAAAGCCCCACAGAGTAACTGGATTTTAACATTGACTTGAAACTTAAACGTTGACTTAATGACAACTGTGCTAGCTATCAAATAGCCAATTTGGCTCAATAAAGTCCAGCGTTTTGTCTACATTTTAAACTTTATTGTTCTACGTTAATGTTAAGTTAAGTGTTTTTTAAGTTCTCTTCACGCCGAAACCCCATTCAAGTTAATTGAGAAATTTTGCTTTGTTTTTCGGGATTTTCGGGAAAGCCGCTTGGCGAATCTCTCTAGAAAATAGATTGCACACGATTCCCGATCAGGCCACACGTTTTGATGTATTTTTTGCGCAGGTGTTGGCAACGCTGTGTGAGGAGAAGCGCGGCAAACTTTCTGGCGGATAAATATTATTATGATTAAGCCCGATGGATTATATACAGTGTGCAGTAAAACTGCCTTTGTGCTACAAAGTCACACTGAATAAGAATGATGATAGAGGAAGAGGAGTACTACTGAGTAGTACTGGTTAGAACGTGTTTACACCAGTACTACTCCAGTACGCACACTACCTCAGCAGCAAGTACTATGACCACCACTCCTACTGTCACTGGGTTGTGTACTTGTACCACTCTCAGTACTGCTCTCTGCTGCTGATGATGAAGATGATGATGACGAAGTTGAAGATGATGAAGATGATGATGAATTATGGAATGGTTGTCGTTGGCAACAGTAACCAGCGTGTTACTAATTGATGAGGAGCTGTAATCGCCATGGAGATGAGGTTTTCCTCATTTAACACAGTTTCACTCTGATCAGAACACAATGTTAATGTTTTTAAAAGAGAAACAAGATGTTCTCACACTAACACCCTGTAAACACACTTGTATTGTCTTTCTTTTGTTCTGTTTCTATTGTAACTCTGTTTTAAAGCCTCCTGAGGACACTAAACACATGCATCTGGTCCTTGTGTTTACAATTCTAATGCCACTGTGATGTCCATATCAAATACAAATAAACAGAACGAACATAAAATACATAAACACAGAGCGTTTTACTGTGGTACAAGTACACAAAGTACAAAGACTCAGTAGTACATGTTTAGAGTATTTACAGCAGGTTTTACATCATAGGGATCAAAAGTCGACACCTACTATTGTACAAATACTCATTCACTCTACATTGGAAATAGAAATACTCAAGTGGATTACAAGTACCTTGAATATATACTCAAGTACAGTAGTTGAATAAAAATACAAACACAGAGATTTCCACTTCCTGTCTTCACTTCACAATAAAAGCCCCATACAGATCTGCTGCTTTATTAAAGGGACACAAACAGATCTTTAAAGATGACCTCACATGGTCCCAACCGGCCCATCAGGAGGCTCACAGCCGAAGCCCGTCAGAGCTCTGTGTGGGCAGGTGATGCTCCACAGCTACCGAGGAGTGTTACGTAACTCTGTGTGTGTGTGTGTGTGTGTGTGTGGGGGGGGGGGGGGGGGGGGG